TTGTATAATGATAAAAAATAAATACACTCGCGCTCGCGCGCGCGCCCGGGCGCGGGGACGCGCGCCCCCCCCCGCCCCCCCCCCCCCCCCCCCCCCCGGCCCCCCCGCTCACACTCACTCTACTGATTCGTATTTTCGTTATTTTTATATTTATTTTTATATTTATATATATATAAATATATATATATATATATATATATATATATATATATATATATATATATATATATAATTATAATAATAATTAAAATAATATTTATAAATATAATAATTATGAAAACAAATTATAATAATAAGAGAAATTCTTTTGGCTTAGTAGCTGATTTATTAGGGGTTGCCACAGAGGAATGAACCACCAACTATTCCAGCATATGTTTTAAACAGCAGATGCCCTTCCAGATGCAACCCAGTGCTGGGAAACACCCAAACAAACTCATTCTCTCACACTCATACACTATGGCCAATTTAGTTCATCAGTTCCCCTATAGCACATGTGTTTGGACTGTAAGGGAAACCGGAGCACCCGGAGGAAGCCCACGCCAACACGGGGAGAACATGCAAACTCCACACAGAAATGCCAACTGACCCAGCTGGGACTCGAACCAGCGACCTTCTTGCTGTGAGGCCACAGTGCTAACCACTTAGCCACCGTGCTGCCCATGAAGATTATTATTATTCATTCATTCATTTTTGGTTTGTTGTAGTGTACATGTTGATGTTTGTAAGCAGCTCCAGATGTTTATGAAAATTAGCCGAATGCCGGACATTCCCTTTTGAAAGCACATTATGCAGAAAAGCAGATGTTGTGTTTGGTGCAGCAGATTTTTCTTCACCTCTCCTCCACTGAAGTGAAACTGGACTAAAGGTCTAAACCTCCTCAATCCCATCACACTGACTCTGTGTGGGAACATAACTTTACTCTGATTCTCGCTCATGAAGGAGATTTAAAGATTTTAAGCAGGGGAATCAGTTGAGCTCACTGTAAAATACTTCACTGTGGGAATATATTTTTTCTTTCTATTTATATAATTATAATTATGAAATAATACAAATATTATTATATTTATTTTAATTATTATTATTTAATTTAATATGATTTAATGATTCCCTGTATTGGGTTGCAGCTGGAAGGGCTGCCTAAAACATATGCTGGAAAAGTTGGTGGTTCATTCCACTGTGGTGACCCCAGATTAATTAAAGGACTAAGCCAAAAAGAAAATGAACGGTTTATTTTATTTAAGAATTATTCTTTATGCTATATGTTTTCTATTTTAATGTTTACTTTTACATTATTTATGTATGTATATTGTTTATGTATGTATGCATTATTTATGTATATATATTTTTAAATTATTATTATTATTATTATTATTATTATTATTTTATAATACTTTTCCTAATTTTTATAAACCATTTTTAGAGGGTTTTCACCTTTACTTTAGATAGGATAGTGGAGAATACAGACAGGAAAGTATTAGAAGCACAGAGAAGGGTCTGCAAAGGACCTCGAGCTGGGAATTGAACATGCGTCACCATGAGCACCACAGTGCTATATGTTAGCACACATAACCACTAGGCTATTAGTTATTATATATATATATATATATATATATATATATATATATATATATATATATATATATATATATATATATATATATATATATATATATATATATATATATATATATATATATATA